TGGGCGCAGCCTCTGCTCCTGCTTGATCTCCTCCAGGATCTTCTCGTGCAGGGACCTCTGTTTCTGCGGCAACGGGTGCAGCAATCTCTCGGAGACCTGCTTCAGTGGAGGCCATGTGCGGATGAAGTCCAGGATGAGCTGGTGAGCGTCCTTCTTCACCCGGGGCTGGATGTCCCCATCCACCATGACCTTGTGCAGTTTGTAGTTCCGGGCCCAGACGTCCTGCATCAGCATCTCGAAGGGCGTGAGCTGGAACTCGGTGGGGAGGGAGTTGAACTCCTGCTTCTGCACCTTCTTCAGCTTCACTCCGTGACGGAGCTCCCGCATGAGCTCAACCCACAATCGGGCCCAGTCTGTGTGATCCAGGCTGTCAAGCTCGGCCTGCGGCATCTCCACCTGCAGCTCGTCCTCCTGAAGCTTCTGCAGCATCCACTTGGCCTCGCGGACCCTGACGAGGAAGGCCCGCAGCTCCAGCGTCTCCAAGAAGAGCGCCCGGCGCAAGGCCTGGTAATGCACCTGCGCGCCCCGGGGGTCGGTCAGCCCTCGGCGCACAGCCGCAGGGCCTGGCGAAGGTGCGGACGTTGTGGGGGATGCCCTTGGCCTCTTCCTCCTCCTCGGGACCCCCGTAGCCCTCGTCGGCTGCACCGCAGCCGCTGTCCTCGCTGTCCTCGCAGTCGTTGTTGGCCATGAGGTCGATAAGCCGCTCCGCTGCGGGCTGAGTTCGCGCTCCTGGCTGTCGTCCAGCCTCCAGTCCAGCGCGCAGTAGATGGCGAAGCAGGGACTGCACGGTCTGGGCTTCCGAACTGACTAGTGGCACCACCATGGTTGCACGTTCCGCGGCCTCGAGCTCCCGCACCCCTACCGAGCGGTCCCCGCGCAGCAGGAGGTCCCCGGTGTCCCGCAGGCGCCGGCCCGGCTCGCCCAGCAGCCCGCTGCAGTCCTGGAAGCACGTGGCCCAAGCCGGCTCCTTGTTGAGCGGCTGCTCGTAACCCTTCAGCACCTCCTCCAGGGACAGCTCCCACGGCTCCGTTTGCCCGGTGCATCCTCAAACGATTTTGAACTGGAATGTTTCTCCATCTGTTTGCGTCCTCTCTCATTTCGTTGAGCAGTGGTTTGTAGTTGTCCTTGAAGAGGTCCTTTACGTTCCTTGTTAGTTGTATTCCTAGGTATTTTATTCTCTTTGTAGCAATTGTGAATGGCAGTTTGTTCTTGATCTGGCTCTAAGTCTGCTATTGGTGTATAGGAATGCTTGTGATTTCTGCACATTGATTTTGTATCCTGAGACTTTGCTGAAGTTGCTTATCAGTTTCAGGAGATTTTGGGCTGAGACGATGGGGTCTTCTAGATATACAATCATGTCGTCTGCAAATAGAGACAATTTACCTTCCTCCTTTCCTATTTGAATACCCTTTATTTCTTTTTCTTGCCTGAATGCTCTGGCTAGAACTTCCAATACTATATTGAATAGGAATAGTGAGAGAGGGCATCCTTGTCTAGTGCCAGATTTCAAAGGGAATGCTTCCAGTTTTTGCCCATTCGGTATGATATTGGCTGTTGGTTTGTCATAAATAGCTTTTATTATTTTGAGATACGTTCCATCAATACCTAGTTTATGAGGGCTTTTAGCATAAAGCGCTGTTGAATTTTGTCAAAGGCCTTCTCTGTATCAATTGAGATAATCATGTGGTTTTTGTCTTTCGTTCTGTTTATGTGGTGAATTACATTTATAGACTTGCCTATGTTCAACCAGCCTTGCATCCCCAGGATGAAGCCTACTTGATCATGAGGATAAGCTTTTTGATGTGCTGTTGCAATTGGTTTGCCAGTATTTTATTGAAGATTTTTGCATCTATGTTCATCATGGATATTGGCCTGAAGTTTTCTTTTCTTACTGAGTCTCTGCTGGGTTTTGGTATCAGGATGATGTTGGTCTCATAAAATGATTTGGGAAGGATTCCCTCTTTTTGGATTGTTTGGAATAGTTTCAGAAGGAACTGTACCAGCTCCTCTTTGTATGTGTGGTAGAATTTGGCTGATCATTAAAAAATCTGGAGACAACAGATGCTGGAGAGGATATGGAGAAATAGGAACACTTTTACACTGTTGGTGGGAGTGTAAATTAGTTCAACCATTGTGGAAGACAGTGCGATTCCTCAAGGACCTAGAAATAAAATTTCCATTTGACCCAGCAATCCCATTACTGGGTATATATCCAAAGGATTATAAATCGTTCTACCATAAGGACACGTGCACACGAATGTTCATTGCAGCACTGTTTACAATAGCAAAGACCTGGAACCAACTCAAATGCCCATTGATGATAGACTGGACAGGGAAAATGTGGCACATATACACCATGGAATACTATGCAGCCATCAAAAACGATGAGTTTGGGTCCTTTGTAGGGACATGGTTGAACCTGGAAACCATCATTCTCAGCAAACTGACCCAAGAACAGAGAATCAAACACCTCATGTTCTCACTCATACATGGGTGTTGAACAATGAGAACACATGGACACAGGGAGGGGAGCATCACACACTGGGGTCTGTTGGGGGGAAATAGGGGAGGGACAGCGGGGTCGGGGAAGTTGGGGAGAGATAGCATGGGGAGAAATGCCAGATATAGGTGATGGGGAGGAAGGCAGCAAATCACACTGCCATATGTGTACCTATGCAACAATCTTGCATGTTCTTCACATGTACCCCAAAACCTATAATGCAATTTTAAAAATGGCTTAACTGAGGGAAAAAAAAAAAAGAACTAGGCTGTCATGACAGAAACTTATAAATATAGCCCTGCCTTCCCGGGACAGAACACCTGAGAAAAGAAAAGGTGGTTATGAGTTCTGCTGCAGCAGACTTAAACGTACCTGCCCAGCAGTTCTGAATGGAACAACGGAGCTCACAGCTCAGCACTTGAGCTCCTATAAAGGACAGACTGTCTCCTCCAGCAGCTCCCTGACCCCGGTATATCCAAAGGGTCACCTCATAAGGGAGAGCTCAGATTGACATTTGACACGTATCCTTCTGGGACAAAGACAGCAGAAGAGGAAACTGGCAGCAACCCTTACTGTTCTGCAGCTGCTGCTGGTGATCCCCAGGCAAGCAGGGTCTGGAGTGGACCTCAGCAGTCCTACAGAAGGGGGGCCTGACTGTTAGAAGGAAAACTAAGAAACAGAAAGAAATAACCTAATCATCAACAAACAGGACGTCCACTCAGACACCTCACCTGAAAGTCACCAACTACAAAGACCACAGGTAAATAAATCCACAAAGATGGGAAGAAACCAGTGCAAAAAGGATGAAAACACCCAAAACTAGAATGTCTCTCCTCCAAGGGATCACAACTCCTCACCAGCAAGGGAACAAGGCTGGATGGAGAATGAGTCTGGTAAATTCACAGAAACAGGTTTCAGAAGGTGGGTAATGAAAAACTTCTCTGAACTAAAAGAACGTGTTCTAACCCAATGCAAAGAAACTAAGAACCTTGAAAAAAGGTTTGACGAAATGCTAACAAGAAGAAACAACTTAGAGAGGAACACAAATGAATTGATGGACCTGAAAAACACAACACAAGAACTTTGCAAAGCATACATAAGTTTCAATAGCCAAAGTGACCAAGCAGAAGAAAGGATATCAGAGGTCAAAGATCAACTCAATGAAATAAAATGAGAAGGCAAGATTAGAGAAAAAAGAGTAAACCTAACATTAATTATAATTAATGATTACATATTTGCAATCTGCTGTTATTCAAATACTTTATGTTAAATTGTTATATGTTAAAATGATGACTTTTCTTTCTATAAGTTTATGGATCTTAGCACAGTGCAGAATCTCAGTCAGTTTAGGTTCAGCATTCTGTGCTCTCAGGTGTGTCTTTTATCCTTAAAAAAGTGAGTCCTCTATTTGGCCTCAGTCCTGAGGGCCTGAGAGTTGGGACCACCTCACTCTCAGATTTCTATTTTCCACAAGTTAAATTCTTCCTGCCCTCTCCAACCCAGTCCAATATATCATCAGCTGCTATCAATATGATTTCATTTTCAATCCAATTTGCTTTCTAAGATTTGATTGCTCTTGTCTAAGCTTTTCAACTCTATTTAAAAATTTTGTCTACTCTTCA